ACACACACACACACACACACAGAGAGAGAGAGAGAGAGAGAGAAAATAATTTAAATGTATTTTTCCTTGAAGCAACAAGATTAAATTTAGGAATCAAGCCAGTTCAAAGGCTTTCTGTGGAGTTCCTCAGATAATTTTTTTTTTGTCAAAACAAAGGGAAACACTGAATTAATGAAGTCTAAAATTACTTGTTGCCATAGTTATCTAATGTTAATCCCTGCTGAAAGCATGAAAGAGGAATCCAGCAACAGAACAGCTCTGACTGACAGCACAGCTGCGTGAAAGTAAGCCATCCTGATCCAAAGAAACAGCGCATCAGTTGATTTTCAACAAATAGTTAGATCTCTCCTCTCTCAGGGTGAAAAAGGCTGCCACCTGCACCCAAATAACCATTTTCTCATTTGGCCACAAAAACAAGTAAATTAATTTTATTAGAGTAGTATTAACTAGTCACTTGCTCTTCATTAAAACATTTGCTAAGTCAGGAAGTCATACTTGGCATGGAAAACATTACACAACTTTACCATGAAAAATATATACACATACACTTAGCAGGGCATGTTGTCACACTATAGAGTATGTTGTAACAATTGGAAATTACAAGTGTTGTGAATATACATACATACATACATTTTAAATAAGGTTTATTAGTCATTAATCAAGTCAGAAATGATCAATTTCAGGGATTTTTTTTTTCAGAATGGTCATGCAGGGATCATGATATGCAGTGATTGACTAAAATAAACTCAACTAAAACGAAGACATGAATGAAGACAGGGAATAATGAAATTATCAAATGTTGATATTTTTTAATTCCTCACAAAGCATTTTCTGATGGGCACAGCACTGTGTCATTGAGCTGATCTAGTTGTTCACCGATTGGTGTACTAAAAGTGGCATTTCTTTTAAATGGATGATCCTTAGTTTGAACTGTTGTCACACCCTGTGAAAAGAAAACACTATTCATAAAACCACTCCAGCACTGCAAGAAATAAACATATTGAATGAAACCTCACAGTAGATGCTGACCTGAATTTTCTGATAGTTATCACTCCAAAATGTGATGGCCTGCTCAGTTGTGTAATCATGATCCTGGAAGAGACGAGCGGATTAATGCCAAAAAATACACGCAAATACATGCACATGTACAGTCAAAGCAAAAATGTTATATTTAAAAGTTATGGTGAACAGAAACAGACCATGGCCATTGGTGCACGGACAGACTTAAAGCCCTCCACC